TAAATATAATCAGATAGGTGTTTTTGTGGATAGTTGGATTCATTTGTGTCAACTGAAGCTAGACTATCATGGAAAACCTAGAAGCAGTAAACGGCCGTTTCATTTTAGTATGGGACTCCTAAGCAGTGTACATTCACGATGCAAAATTTGAGCCCAGGATCTATCAGTTAGATTAAGTTGAATGATATTGAGTGAAACGGATATTTTTTAAAGTTTTTCCATATTACATATTTGTTTCAATATATAGATTAACATTAACCTGTAGTGGTTGGCCCTATCTTGAGCCGACATCAGAATATATTCAATATAATTTAACATTAAGATTTGATCAAGAAACAACTGAATGTTATAGTAATTAATGATAAACTTACGTTTATAATGACATAATTAATCATAATTTGATCTGTAATTTCAATTATAAGATTAGCTTCAAAATTATTGATTTCATTATTAAAATCAATTACATCTTGGAGGATTAATAAGTTGTCAGTTCACTTGGATAAATTTTCTAACTGAATAGTAGATTCAGTTCTTTAAGCTCTCTGATAACCTATAGCCTAAATCTATACAACGATTTGAATACGAGAGAAAAAGGCATGAAATATGGAAGAAACGTTTTACTTCAAATTTCGTTTATGTACAGAAAATCTGGATTATTTTAGATGAACTTAGGCTCCCGGAAATTTCTGGAACACTACTAAACCTAGTTGTAGAATAAGTAATCATTCAAACAGAAATGTAACATGTGACTTTTCAATTTCTAAATGTTTCTGGCAAAACTTCTATTTAATGTTGATTGGATAAGATGTTTCCCAGCGTTTTCAGAGCCTTTTTTTGAAGAGTTTACTAGATCATCCCAATAACTTATACTCATTTCTATCAGTTCCTCATAAAACATGAAGCTTTTCTAATTCAAAATAAACTTACCAGTAGTTTGAAAGCATTGAAAGAATAATGAACTGAATATCTTGACTTTCAGGTAGATAGTAAACAATAAGACAGTAATGAATTAAGTATATTTCTAGTAATTGCATTTCAAAGGGAATACTTTTTTAAAATCTTATTATAACATATGTGTGTAACTGAGTAAAATAACGAAAAGCTTATTAATTTTAACAGGTGTTTCCTGAGATTCTAGTGCGAAATTGTGACTAGTGAATTCTCTCAAAGTAAAACCATTTACCTGCTGTCACTATGTTAACGCTGTCCCTGGCAACCTTAACTAATTTGAACAATATTTAACATCAACAGTATATCACTGTGTCACATGACACATATATTTTTGTAGACCTGATTGATATATTTTGGTAATTATTGCTTTGTTGTTCCGTGCTGTCTGTTTTCGTTTTAATTTCTCTAGTTGTAGATAGTTATCATTAATTCGATCTGGTACAGGAAACGACCTTAATTCCTCCGTTCATAAATCAATAGGCTATCGATTTAAGAAAAATTAAAAGTTCCCAGCTGATGCACTGTGTTGTTGATGTAATACATGTACTACCTAAACAATTACTGAACTAATATACTTAAAACTATCTTATATCACATGTTTGTTTTCTACCTCTAATGTTACTATTTATATCAAAGTGATCATGCCCGTAAACTGGCGTGAATTCTGTAATTATTGTTTCCAGAATGTATATATATTATCAATAATCAACAATGGTACTGGAAGACATTGTGAAGTATTCGATGTTACGAATGAAAATTATGGCATACTTATTCAATGGTTTAAAGTTTAAAAACTCACCACGAGATTTGAATATCCTGTCTCCGATCTTATGGAAAAGCATTTCTGAAGTGTTCATCATAATAGAGTTCTCTTTTTTTTTTCTTTTCCAACTAATTGTTTGACTACAGTCACTCTGAAACATGATACACATAATTTACATTATACAATTGTCTACTTATGAATATTAATATATTCATCCAACTCTAAGACACAAATCAGTCATTTTTTGTTTGGTAAATAGGTCGGTATATACACTGACATATATTGTTAGACAAGTAAACAAATAATCTTTAAAACGGAACAACATTCATCCCTCTATATCTCCCCCACGTCTAATTCAACATGATGAATAAAGAAAAACAAACGCCAGAAGAAAAAAAATTGAATTTTCACTTCCTAGTCATAATCATATTTTTATGTACGACAGATTTTGTCAAACCAATCACCAAACAAAAAAAACTAAAACTAAGAATACCGTTTTACATTGTTGCTTTTACTCAATTATTGGACATGTATTTGTCTACAATTTATGACCACGTTTGTTTGTATATATATAGGTCGTTTTGTAGCACGTTATATTAGCGTTCACTCGGAAACAGGAACGATTTGAAACAACAACACAACAGTCAGGATCGGTAAATGCCTCTAAACTAAGAATACGGCGTACTGGCACAACATATATATTAAAAATAGAAAGACACGGTTCGAGTACAAAAAAAGGGGAACTGCAAGTTAAACTTACGTAGGGCTTGTTCCTCTTCTTCCAGTACGTTTACTTTTTACTGTCCTACAATAAAAAAAAAAACTCACCTTAGTAACGTCACATGTAATGAGTTTTTATACTGTTACAAGTTCATTAGTTAAATATTGCGCAATTCAAATCATTAAAACAATGACCAATCAAAACAGTAAGCATTTTAAAATAGGATTAGGAAAATTCATTTAGGTTCACAACAACTGATAATCATCAGTGCTTTTCTAACTAGTTAACTTACATTATTCAGTGATGAAACACGAAATGATTTCAATTAAACCAGCAAGATGTTTGTTTTAATCATTAGAAAATAAATTATGGAATCATTCATATATTTGAAATAATAACAATAATAACAAAAACAATAACGCGATTCAAATAAAATCAGGTATCAATGAACAATGTCAACAAACTTTCAACTTACTTACTTTTACTTACTTACGCTTGTTACTCCTAATGGATCATAGGCCACCGATCAGCATTCTCCAACCCACTCTATCCCGGATCTTCTTTTCCAGTTCTATTCAATTCTTGTTCATTTTTCTCATGTCTATCTCCATTTCCCAGCGTAATGTGTTCTTTGATCTTCCTCTTTTCCTTTGGCCTTGAGAATTCCATGTGAGGGCTTGTCTTGTGACGCAGTTGGGTGTTTTCCTCAATGTGTGCCCTATCCACTTCCAGCGCTTCTTTCTGATTTCTTCCTCCACTGGGATCTGGTTTGTTCTCTCCCACAGTAGGTTGTTGCTAATAGTGTCCGGCCAACGGATCCGAAGTATTTTGCATAGACAACTGTTAATAAACACCTGTATTTTCTGGATGATGGCTTTCGTAGTTCTCCAGGTTTCCGCCCTATACAATAAAGCTGTTTTGACATTTGTATTGAAAATTCTGACCTTGGTCTTGGTTGACAGTTGCTTTGAGTTCCAGATGTTCTTCAGTTGTAAATATGCTGCTCTTGCTTTGTTGATCCCCGCCTTCACATCTTTATCAGATCCACCATGTTCATCAATAATGCCGCCCAGATATGTAAAGGTTTTTATGTCTTCCAAATCTTCTCCGTCAGTTGTGATTGGATTGGTGCATGCTGTGTTGTATCAGAGAATCTTGCCTTTCCCTTTGTGTATGCTGAGCCCTACTGCTTCTGAAGCTGCTGCTACACTGGTCGTCTTCTCCTGCATTTGTTGTTGCGTGTGCGGTAGGAGGACCAGATCATCTGCGAAGTTTAGATCGTCCAACTGCATCCTAGATATCCATTGTATCCCGTGTTTCCCTTCAGATGTTGACGTCTTCATGATCCAGTCGATCACCAGGAGAAAGAGAAAGGGTGAGAGTAAGCAACCTTGCCTAACACCGGTCTTCACTTTGAACGACTTTGTCAACTGTCCTCCATGCACGATTTTGCAGTGTAATCCATCATATGAGTTCTGTATGATATTGACTATCTTCTGAGGCACGCCGTAGTGTCGAAGAAGTTTCCATAGTGTTGTTCTGTCCACGCTATCAAATGCCTTTTCGTAGTCAATGAAGTTGATGTAGAGTGATGAATTCCATTCAATTGATTGTCCCACAATGATCCGTAGAGTTGCGATTTGGTCTGTACACGATCTATCCTTACGGAATCCTGCCTGTTGCTCTCGAAGTTGAGCGTCTACGAAATCCTTCATCCTGTTTAACAATACTCTGTTGAAGACTATTCCCGGTATTGAGAGGAGAGTGATGCCCCTGTAGTTATCACACTTGCTGAGATCGCCTTTCTTCGGTATTTTGATCAGGAGTCCTTCTTTCCAGTCTTTTGGTACTTGTTCATCATCCCAAATCTTATTGAAGAGAATGTGGAGTATCCTTGCAGTTACTATTACGTCTGCTTTCAATGCCTCTGCTGGAATGTTGTCTGGTCCTGCTGCTTTGTCACTCTTGATTTGTCTGATGGCCATGCTGATTTCTTCAATTGTTGGTGTGCCAACATTGATTGGGAGGTCCCTGGGTGCTGCTTCGATGTTGAGTGGGTTCAGTGGAGCTGTTCGATGCAAGAGTTCTTTGAAGTGTTCTACCCACCTGTTTTGCTGTTCTTCAATTTTAGTGATTACCTCGCCTTCCTTGCATTTCACTGGTCTTTCTGGTTTACGGTGATTCCCAGAGAGTTTCTTTGTTATGTCATACAGTCCTCTCATGTTTCCTTCTCTTGCAGCCTTTTCCGCCGCCATTGTTAAATATTCCACATATGTACGTTTGTCAGTTCTGATGCCTCTCTTCACTTGCTTGTTCACTTCTGTGTATTCAGCTTGTGCCTTGGCTTTTTCTGCTCTTGTTCGACTGGTATTTATTGCTTCCTTCTTGTTCCTCCGTTCTTGAATCTTATCCAGTGTACCAACAGTGATCCATCCCTTTCAACCTACCATGTCAAAAAAGTCTTGAAATGTTTTGTGAAAATTATGATTTTTATGTGAATCAAATGAAACCTGTTGTTGGTCCGATCAGTTGTAATATCAATGAAAGTGCTCGGAAAAGTCGACAATGTCATCATCATCATCATCATCATCATCATCATCATCATCATCATCATCATCATCATCATCATCATCATCATCATCATCATCATCATCATCATCATCATCATCATCATCATCATCATCATCATCATCATCATCATCATCATCATCATCATCATCATCATCATCATCATCATCATCATCATCATCATCATCATCATCATCATCATCATCATCATCATCATCATCATCATCATCATCATCATCATCATCATCATCATCATCATCATCATCATCATCATCATCATCATCATCATCATCATCATCATCATCATCATCATCATCATCATCATCATCATCATCATCATCATCATCATCATCATCATCATCATCATCATCATCATCATCATCATCATCATCATCATCATCATCATCATCATCATCATCATCATCATCATCATCATCATCATCATCATCATCATCATCATCATCATCATCATCATCATCATCATCATCATCATCATCATCATCATCATCATCATCATCATCATCATCATCATCATCATCATCATCATCATCATCATCATCATCATCATCATCATCATCATCATCATCATCATCATCATCATCATCATCATCATCATCATCATCATCATCATCATCATCATCATCATCATCATCATCATCATCATCATCATCATCATCATCATCATCATCATCATCATCATCATCATCATCATCATCATCATCATCATCATCATCATCATCATCATCATCATCATCATCATCATCATCATCATCATCATCATCATCATCATCATCATCATCATCATCATCATCATCATCATCATCATCATCATCATCATCATCATCATCATCATCATCATCATCATCATCATCATCATCATCATCATCATCATCATCATCATCATCATCATCATCATCATCATCATCATCATCATCATCATCATCATCATCATCATCATCATCATCATCATCATCATCATCATCATCATCATCATCATCATCATCATCATCATCATCATCATCATCATCATCATCATCATCATCATCATCATCATCATCATCATCATCATCATCATCATCATCATCATCATCATCATCATCATCATCATCATCATCATCATCATCATCATCATCATCATCATCATCATCATCATCATCATCATCATCATCATCATCATCATCATCATCATCATCATCATCATCATCATCATCATCATCATCATCATCATCATCATCATCATCATCATCATCATCATCATCATCATCATCATCATCATCATCATCATCATCATCATCATCATCATCATCATCATCATCATCATCATCATCATCATCATCATCATCATCATCATCATCATCATCATCATCATCATCATCATCATCATCATCATCATCATCATCATCATCATCATCATCATCATCATCATCATCATCATCATCATCATCATCATCATCATCATCATCATCATCATCATCATCATCATCATCATCATCATCATCATCATCATCATCATCATCATCATCATCATCATCATCATCATCATCATCATCATCATCATCATCATCATCATCATCATCATCATCATCATCATCATCATCATCATCATCATCATCATCATCATCATCATCATCATCATCATCATCATCATCATCATCATCATCATCATCATCATCATCATCATCATCATCATCATCATCATCATCATCATCATCATCATCATCATCATCATCATCATCATCATCATCATCATCATCATCATCATCATCATCATCATCATCATCATCATCATCATCATCATCATCATCATCATCATCATCATCATCATCATCATCATCATCAACATCACAAACATCAACACACACGACATAAACAAGTATGGCATTGGGAACAGTTGGACACCACACTCAATTATGTCCCCACATTTTATTTGAACAACAAATATCATTCAGATAGTTATCTGCTTCGATCGCATCAACAGGAATATCCAGTACCACCGAATACACCACACAAATGCACTACAAAACCATCAAAATACCAATTCACCGAAAATAAATACAATTCATCTACTACGTTCACATTGCACAGGTCACAAGTATATCATCACATATCATCTCCAGTACCAATCATCCAACCAGTTACAACTTCATTTCGTGTTAGCCGTACTCGAAGTAGGAATTCATCAAACTGCACAATGTCATCTGGTAGAGTTTCCAAGTATTTGCATGCTGAACATATACGGAGTAAAAGTGAAGGGAAACACATTGACCACATACACAACTCACATCTCGATGGACACGCAAAATGCAGCGTTTGTGTTGATTCGACTTGTCGTTCTTCTCAACTTCCATACAAATTATCAAGTTACTCGTCTTCCAATATTCCATGTTCAAAGAGTGTGAATGGTGTTGGAGAATGGAAAAACATTCGATATTCTGATAAACAAGTGTCTCCCAGTCCACCATCCACACCGAACAGATCTAGTTTGAAGCAAATGAAACTGACTGGTAAGTTGACACACAGTTTCCAATGTCCGTTTTTAATGTTGTTTGTTGACCGGATGCAACTTGGTTTCAGATCGGTCTCCTTACAGATTTGTAAGTTCCACAATGAATAATTAGTTCCATCCATATTGAGATAGCGAAACGACTGATGTTTATTCTCATGGAAAACATTGTGTAGAACCAGGTTAATTTTGTTTTCAAGGTTTCATAACATTGTAGAAATTTTGTGGTCTTACTTCCTGTGACAAACTCATGTCACTCGTAGTTATTCAATGAATAGGTGTACATGATGCGTAAATGTAAGTGGTATGGAGATAACTATACAATCGTTTTCTCACTCCAAACAGAACATTTATCCATGCAATTTTCCATATTCACTTCTGATAATAATGAATAATGGTTTGTGTTACTCGAACTATGAACAAATGATGTTCGAACAAGACACTTTCCTGCTCAGATAATCCAAAGCACTCGAGTGATCATGTCTAATAGTGACCCATTCAAATCCTATAACAATTGTTATTCAGTTGTTAGTACGACAATCACTTAATACTAGAGATACTCCACCAATAGTTATCTAACTGATAGTGATATTTCACAGTTGGCATTCTTTTATTCAAATTAAGACATATTTCTCTGAAATCAATGATGAATAGAATATGAGGAGTTACAACTATCACGTGTCATAACTGCTTAATCAATCAATCAATCAATCAATCGAAGGTGGACATTGAAGGTCATAAAATATTTTAACAGAAATTGACTAGTAAGCATTACAAATAGATTTTCACATATAAGTGTCATTCGACTAGAAAACGTTAACATTGAATGTATTCTAATCTAAAGAGACTAAGCTCTAATCAACTTCCACTTCGATAACCGTTCATCGAACAGAAATTCACCTATGCCATTTTGTAATGTTTCGATACCAAGTTCTCTTTTGATATTGAAGTGTTAGGATAATTACTGTGATATTACAGAAATTGAATATTGATTTACATGATGACACGATAAATCATTGGTCCGACTCTCTCGTCTAACTACTTTGATCATAACTTATATGCAGTTCATTTAACCATCTATCGGCTGAACAACAGAAGTGTATGAATTAACTCATTCATATGATGATTGTTGCATGGAATCTTGTCCTACTCAGTATCTAACTTCTAACCCACATCTCAAGTCATGTACAAAACAGTAAATTTTCTTGAGCACCTGATCTGTGTAAATAAACTGACTTATCCAATCACATTTGCAACACACACACACACCATTTTCTTTTGTGATGCACAACCAATCTCTTCTCATCACTGATTAAGCTCACCACAGAATTCTGTAATCAATTATTGTGAATTAAAAGTCATCATAATGAAATTAGTTCATGTTTATATTACAGTCTGTAGTGATGGCAGACAAATGATTTACGATCAAATTGATAATTATTAAATGCGGGTACTGTAACCAATGCTAGTTGTTAAGTTTAATGCACAAACACTATAATATATTTGTAATCACCATGATCATGTTAAATTGTATAATTAGAGAGAAGATCAAAGTAAATGAGATCCGTGATGATTGAACACATATTAAAACACATAATGGAAAAATGTGATAAGATGAAGATGAGTCGATTGATTGTATGTGAAGTGAAGAAAAAATCACAATGTTATTTCGACTTCTCAATCATCATAGTATATATGTGATACTACTATTAAGTTAGTGCGTAATCATCTCCAAGATCTATTTGTTATGAGATGAATAATCAGTTACCTGATGTTATTAAATGTTATATCAAGAATATTGTTCAAACCACTAACCGATCTATGTTAAGCCTACACTGAAAGTACGAAAGCATGATTCAGTTCCTGACCTTAGTAAAATTTAACATAATTTCTCCATAATTTCTATACTGCCGAGAGCTTAATCACCAAATTACTGGGTTCTGTCTGTAAAAGTAGTTTACACTATTTCAGTTCTATGTCACAAGTAAAATAGAGAACACAATGTTTTGAACTAACTGTCTGTCTTGAAATATGTTTTCATGTATGAAGGAAATTTAAAAGTAGTTTCAAAAACATCGGATCATACTTCAGTTAATATAATAATAACTTCTAATAAGGTTAGTTAAGTAAAAGATGAAAAGCAGAAAATATTAGAAAACTGATTTATTCAAGTGTAGAACTCTTCAACCATGTACTTCCACGATCCAGCTGGATATTCGAAAATATGAAATTCAGATTTTACAATGAGTGCTTAACTACTCTACATTTCTATTTTCAGAATTTAACGAATATCATTCGATGCCATTGGTATGTAGGTGGCAAGCATTCGGCGTTTTTGAACTCCACTGATTACACTTTACTAGAACTCAGAGAGCTACATATTCGAAATAGTCACTTGTGTGCACAATATTATGATTGATTGGAAGTTATTCTTTGTTATGAATTAACATCGGTTAGAGTATTAATGAAGATCAATGACAATTTAATGGATTTTCAATCCTGTTCTAGGACTCATTGCTAATGCATACAGTTGATAGTTAGAGTGATGAATTAGATCTATAATTTTCATCACGAACTGACATCAACTAAAATGCCAAAACTCTATTTAGCCAAATGGATGACTGAATTTCGCACACAAATCCAAGACCTATGATGTTATATCTTATTAGTTCGTCCATAACTTATAGTCTTGTCGAACCTTGTTACTGATGATAATAATGATAAATTCCACTGCCAGCCACTATTCATCTTTGCTTAAAAAGCTTATGACTTAAGGTTATATTGAGGCAGTCCGCACAGGATGCACCTATGCCAACATGAGACCGATCAATTGCAATCCTAAATAACAATGGGAAGATGCAAGTAAAACAACACCAAATGAATTTCTATTGTAAATTCTGTTTGAAGAATTTGTGATAAACTATTCAAAAAATAGAGGTTAAACTATTTGGCATATTTTAGTGGCCCCATATCTAACTATAGTTTCATCGTTTCTGATTGCTATTGAGATATGTATGTCGCCAATCCTCATATACAATTATTAACTTAGATCGCGTTAATGAATAACGAAACTAAATAAGTTAAATACGAGGCTGAACTTTTCCAATATATATTTGGTACACTCATTGATCTGGGCAGGCAATCAGAGGGACCAAGCGAAAAAAGAGAGTGAAGCGAAAACACACGAAGTGGAGAAGCCATGTAAGCCAACTTGATTTAGCCAAGCGTTAATCGATATTTATAGTCACACAAAAATAAGTTATGTGGGCATAACATAGTAACCTACACTACACTATATATATATATATATATATATATATATATATATATATATATATATATATATATATATATATATGCGTTTGTAAAAAATTACGCATTTTCTCTTCATCCCTATAATTCTACTGACTATCAGTTAGTTAAATCAGTCATAAACAACATAGAACCAGATACATAAATGAATCATTTCAAGTTATCACACAAATTTTGTATAGATAAGTGAAATCATCATACGAGAGAAATAGAAGTAGTAATGAAGAAGAGAGAGAAGGAAACTGAAAGCATTCAAGATAATAACAGGAATGAAGAAATAATGTGAGACAATTCAAAGAAAATATGCAATTGATGTATTTGATGTATGAGTTTCACAGTTCACTAAATCAATGTGTGATTATGTATTAAAAATAGATTGGTTATCCCTTCTAGAGTGTTCGTTCACTACAGCAACAGTATTAGCAATAGTGTAGATAATTACGTACACACAATTACAATGAATTATTTTAAAATGCTTTCAAATTCAAGATCTAAGGGAAGATAAATAATGAAATCATCTTGAAAATTGCTACAGCATTCCAACTATGACACGTGTCTATAAGCATTGATTTCAATAATCCTTCAGAACACAACCTGGTAATTTCCACTGATCTAAATTGTTCATTTCAATAGTTAGCTGTCAGTAGATTTCGAATATCACTTTTTGTTACAAACTGATCGTATTATAATCAAACCTTTGGAAATTCTTCTAAAATGATAATAGCGTGATGTATGCTACATATGATGACAGATATAAGTAGTATGTAACATCAATCAGTAGTGGAATGCTTGGCAGCAGAGTATTGAAAAGATCGAATTGAAGAGAATAAAAATGTAAACAGAGAGTAATTGTAATGACAACAGGAATAAAGTAACGATGAAACTTATAAGAGCAACTGATGGATGATGTGCAAATAAAAGTATTTAATACATGGTTTTTTATATTTTAAAAAGACACATTGTAATTTGCTATTGAATAATTAATTGGCCTTCTCTACCTGAGTGTTCATTCACAACAATAGTACCACATTTTCTTGATTGACTTCTCTCCCCTTTTTTGTCTTTATCAGCTTTTTCCACGAAGTACTTAACCATGTTTTGATATTTCCCAGTCTTCTTTGACCGAACCTTGAGTAGTTGACGTTGGTTAAGATTTCCCTTTAGTATTCCATCTTTTTTGTTGTATGATGTTGAATTATTGATAATAAGGTCTTGTTTGGTCGAACTCAACGTTGCAGTGTGTTTGACTGTCTGCTAGAAGCGTTTCTTGCTTAATTTGACTCTTGGATACAGGACATTTTGCTGTTTCGTGTAAGTCACTTCTTCATCGAACAAATATACAAACGAAGTAAAATTTACACAAGTTTAAGTCGTAAGAAAAAACAAAGCAAACAAAAAAATATATAGCAGGATCAAAAACAAGTTCAATCATGTCAGTGTCATGAATAAATGATTCGA